TGGTAGCATGCCTAGAAAATTGATAGCTTTCCATCTTTCGAGGACGTGTCTGGCGTCTTACGTCGGATATACAACATACGTCCAGGGTCCACGCTGATGCAGCAGAAAACGACGACAGGAACATGCACTGGTCCCTGCACGAACGCCCTTGTGCCTAAGCTAGACGCAGTTCTGCCTTTGGCCATGGTCGTGTTAGAAGCTAAAACAAATGCACCGTCCGTGGCTTGCCTGATTCAGCGCCCGTTTTTTCTCCTTTCTTGACGACGGCTCCCGATTCGATTGCACCGGTTCAACTGACGGCCGCCGGGAGCAGTCCACGGTGGCCACGTTCCTACTCGGTACAGGTTCCCGCGCCATGAGCTCCTTCGCCAGGTCCTGGAGGCAACCGGGGATAAGGACAAGCATATGGAGAGCCTCAGAGAAAAAACACAGGAAAATGTGTATTGCTACAGTACCAAGTAGTTGAGAAGTGTCGGGGGCATACCCCGTTCAGGCTTGGGGCAACCACACAGCGACGTGGAGGAGTCCTACTGCACAGCAAGGTCGACACTCTTGCTCGATTGTCTTGACGCTGACGCGCACACCGCTGTTGTGGCCGACAAAACTCTGCCGTCGACTCACCTTGAGATCGGCCAGAGAAGACCTCCGAGGGCCGGCTCCATCAGCAGTGCCTGTGCCGACTTCCGCCCGCGGCATCTCGGATCGAGCGATCTTTGAAACCAGATCAGCACCGTCGTTGTCCTCGACCTGGATGGGGTGGAAAACACCGTGTGTGAGTCATTAGCAACGGAAATGACACCTCTACTTTAAGGATGGGGACGATAGTGGTGCAAACGGTTGTTTCAGCCAATTGTTTCTTCTGGAATCCTGTGCTCAATCCCCCATGCAAGCTATCTGCGGGATGCGGCGGAGGTGTGGAAGGGAAAACAACCCACCTTCCTAAACCCGACCCTCTCTCAAGACGCAACACGCGAGGCTTGGATTGCCTCATGGGGGGAGGCTGTGCACAACTTTTTGTCGTGGGCCTACGTTTGGCAGACAGGAATCAGAGCAGAAACAACAAAAGGAGGTGGTGGAACACCGCGGGGCGCGGAGTTTGCCGGGTCACGAAAGAACAAGTTTCTTAATTTTGCACCGTAGCGGAGGTTTGCGTGTTGGCTCCGAAGTGTTTCCTGCACCACGCCGTCTGCGCATAGTTTGAGACTACGAGAGGCGCAGCGACGAGTTTCAACTTGGGTCGTCCTGTAGCTGATGTTGTGGCTGTCGCTCGAGTTTCACCCTGCCGCGGTACGGCTAATCAAGGAGGCATTTGTGTTGTCTGTTGTTGGCTGGTCACCGATATTCGCTAGATTCGAGGGAACGCCGCATTAGAGTCCATCGGAGCTATACCCACATGCGAGGCCTTGAGGACGTCGAGAAGCCGGCGACGGTGGTCCAAGCGTCTCTTGAGCTTGTTCTCTGCCTTTTCCTTATCCTCATCGGCCTCTTGAGCTCTCTTCTGGAGGACATCTTCCGCCGCAGGGTTGCGTGGAAAGCCCAAGCTTACCTATTGCAGAACGCCCATGAACCAACGTAAACACATAACATGGTAAACTGCGTGGGACGCGGTTTAACTGGAGCTCGTTCATTCAGGGGTGTCCTTTCATCTGACCCCTCCCTTTCCCTTTTTTCGCACAACCCGGTTTCCCTCCGGGAAAAAAGCCTCCATACATGTGTGCCTCCAGAAGTCAACCTGAACGGCGTTCGTCACATGTTTTTATTAAGACTTTCAACTAAATAGTCTACAGAGCTTTTTTCCGGCGTTGAGACGATCCCAGGCTACATGACTAGTCTCCTTCTCTCATGAACCCCTCGCTCGCACCCTCCTATTTTGGGCACGGATTTCCTCCACCAGAGAACGTCTTCTGGTGCCCAGATCGAAGAGCTCCTTCCTGGCTTCCAGTACTCCTTCTCCCACGCTGTCCAAGAAACTCGAATCCACGGTCTTTTCGGTGGGCTTTCCATCGAGGTAGATGACCCCGGGGGGGTCGTCGAGTGGACCGAGCGGGGGCACGTACAGCCTTCTGAAGGTATCGCCCATTTTCTCCACCGAGGAATTTTCAAGATCCTGCACGACAGCATGACGGGGGTCGTGGTGATGTCTCCTTGCCTATTAACGTTCTGTCATCGTCATTTCATTTCGAAGCACCCAAGCTCGATATGCTCCAATGCGGTATGTGTAAAAAGGGTGTTTGCCCGATACGAGATAAGGTGCCCCAAGCCTTATATACTGACATGTGGTGCCCACATACTCCCCCGGATACGAGCGAGCGGACAGCTCAGCATCGTAGACAAATACGCGGGTACCACGACGCACCCCCCGTAGCATGTACGGTAACCGGAACCCGACCGGCTGGCGGCGGACAAAAAACCACCCATTTCCACGTGCCCGGATTCGAAGCCGGGACTTTGACATTGCATGGATGACATCCTGCCGCTGACGCCACTTGTAAAAAGGGTGTTTGCCCGACACGAGATAAGGTGCCCCAAGCCTTATATACTGACATGTGGTGCCCACCTATGTACAAGTATGTTGTTGCTGAGAGGAAAAGAGTACGAGTCGCCTTTCGAGGCCTACCAAGACATGAATGTAGGATTTCACCTTGATTCTTAATGAAGACTCCCGGCGTCGGCTCCTTCTCCTCTCTCGCACCTCCTTGATGCGTTGGCTTGAAGCTTCCGTCACGTCGCGATCGCCGTTAAAACCCTCGGCCGCTGTCCGTTGTGCCGAGCCCGCAGCAGATTTGGAGCCTTTTATGTTGACGCCGTGCCCGTACAAGTCGGAAAGATTGCTCACTGCGGATGGGGATATATAGACCTTCCTTGTATCATCCGGTAATGGTTGGTGTTCTGCGGCAAGAAGTTGAGACGGCTTTCGCCGGCGTTGTTGCTGTTGCTGCTGTTGCTTTCCAGTTTGCTTCCCGCTCTCAGGTGGATGTTTCTCCTCTCCCCAGGCCAACATAGGCACACCCGTCACGAACAATGCATTGCCGCTGGCTAAAGAAGAGCTTTGTATTGTTGTTAGCGTTTTTTTTTGGTATACTTTTTTGTGTCCATGGATTCTCCACCACGACCTTCATGTAGCAGCCCGCAGTGTAGAGGTCTTCCATGAAGTCAATATGCATAGTATGCATCCTACTGCTGAAGTCTACAGCACAAAGACACAGTCTGTATGTACATAGTGCATCCGCAAGTGGCCGCCGCGTGCACAGAACCTGAGGCAAGTGTTGCATGTAAACTCCACACCGTAGACTACAAGAAAAAGAGACAAACTTCCTACGGTGTAGAGCCTATCTGTAGGTCTGTCGACACCGCGTAGTCGAAGGTTCCAAGGCGACACCGTTTTCGCATCTCACATGTCAATCGCTAGCTCTCGATGTAGTGCTACAGCAGTACAGCAGTAACAAGGTCGGAGTCTTTGGTAAAAATCCTGGCCGTGTTTACATTATTTTTCCTACAATACCAGCCCACCAATAGGCCAGTACCCTCATCAATCAAAAACCGCATCCTCAGTGCGGTTTTGTCAGGGTTTACAGCAGTACTGTAGTTGGGTTTTGGCGGCCGGGCGGCCAGGCAGACGGCAGCAGGATGTACGTACGTATGTAAACTAAATTCTTACCCGCCTTCTCCGTTCCTGGGCCACCACCTCTCCCGGATGATCCCCCCTCAGGACGACCGCTCCCTTGGATAAGTGATGATTCTTTGTCACCTTGCCGCAAGCGCTGAAGAGCTTCTCTGCGGAGGACGCTACCTCGTCGTGTGGATCTAGTCGTTAGAACCGGATCCATTGTCCCGGCGTCCTGGCTGACTGTCTCGGCCTCTCCGTTCCTTGTCCCTCGTGTGGTTAGAGCTATCATTCTTTCGACACAGCGGTACACACAGGTTTGCTGCAGCTGCTCCTGCTAGCGTGTGCCGCGACTGAAGTACTTTCAAGAGGCTTTTCCACGAAGCAGTGCGCGGCACCTTTGCGAGGATCAACCAATCACAGAGGTTCATATCATGGCAATCCGGTCAATCGAAACCAATCAACACGGAGGACGATATTGCGCCGCTTCACCTCACCCGAGAAACGGATAGCCAGGAGACGAACGGAACACAACACAGCAGCGCCCACAGCAGCGCCCACGGCAGCAGCATCGAGGCACGATTATGATGGTTTGGCGGTTTGTTCCCCACTCTGGCGTGGTATACGCTGTTACGCTGTGGGAGCCTGTGAGCGGTCGTGAGAGGATGCGCAATTTGTGCCGGTCCGTCCGCGGCGTCAACCAACCCACCAGAGAGGCAAACAAACTCAAGTAATAGAGTCGTTTTCGTACCACTGAGCTCTGGCGCATGCCAGGGCCTGCGGACGACCTGCTTATGTGAGGGACATACATGGTGATGTACTGCAGTACCCCACGGTTTGGTCCCTTCCTTGGTATTGAGCGCCTACACCCTTACCCTAGCCCTAGCCCTAGCCCTTACCCTAACTTTTTTTTCTCATCATAGTCTAGATGTGTGCAACATGGTGCACGGAGCGGTGCAAAGAAACAACCATATCTGCGGGCAGATTTACCAACTATGAATAACACCTTGACCTTGTTGCATCACGATGCATAAAAATTAGAGTACCATGTTGCATACCCCACGAATGGCGTGCAAATACCTCGTATAGTCTAGTCTATCTGCTAGCGTAACACTAACTTGTTTTGATGTGTAGTCCATAGCTTACAATGTTGATCCCCTCCAGAGCTTCGACTTAACAGCCCCGGCACCCAAATTTCCCGAAACACGAAAATCGGGTGGCAACCTCTGTCGGCGGATGCTGACCAGCTGCCAAAATTGACGGCCGACATGACACCGGAACGAGTCCAAGCCTCAGTGCTCCTTCCTAAACTACCATGAACCGCAGGATCATGATCCGGTCCATATATCTAAACTACTTTCCCCAACAGTCCAATCGCGGGTAAACAGCCGGTTTTCTACCTCCCCGAATCCGTCGACCCCACCCTTGCAGACAGAGGTACAGGCGCCGCCGCTGCAGCAGCAGCCGCGTTCATCGCCGTCTTCTGCATCCTCGGTCCCCGGCGTACCCTCCTTACAAGAGAATCCTTCTCGGCCTTCTCAGCAGCTGCCCTTGTCTCCACCTCGGCTGACACGCTAGCCCGCATTGCCGCCGCCTGCTCTGGCCCTCCCAGCCACGGGTGGTCGGCGGCCTCTCGAGCAGACGGCCGCTTGCTGTCGTCGACCTGGAGCAGCTGGTGCGACAGGAGCGGAGGGGAAACAGGGAGCGGGGCACGAATGATGAACACGCTACTACTTTGGGCGGCGAAAGCTTGCCTTGTTGAGTCGGTCGGTCGAGCGGATACAGTAGTAAACTCAGTGGGGTTGACGAATTTTGTCGTTCTGATCTGGCCTCACCTGCTTCAAGAACCTCACGCATCCCTCACTGACAAGCGACGAGTCGAAGATGGCGCGCCCCTCGCGGATGTTGTTCTTTTCCGCCTCGTAAGCAATGTCGTCCTCCAGCTGCTCCCTCGTCTTCGTTCCGGCGGGGGTTGCGCAGTCCCCCTTTGCCTCCTGCACCCCGTTCTCACCCGTCGCGTCGTTAGTCAGTCCCGACTCGTTGGCGACCCCGCTGTGCCTTGAGTGTTGGAGAGGTGGCATGGGGAGATGGCAAATTGCACACACCAGGCCAGGCCGGGTTTTGCGGGTGTTCAAGAACAGCCGCGTGGTGAGGATATACTATATGGCAACACGGCTCGGAGCCACATGTAGAGGGTGAATGTCGCCCGTGGAAACACCGATCAACAACAACATATATATTGTCGGGAGCTCGGACATACCATTAGGCTAGGTAAAAAGAAACAAGACGACGGACACAACTACAAACCTTGCAAGTAGTGAGGCTCTACCGCGCGTTAGGTTTGGCCGATTTGTGGGAGAATCGTATGGGTACTATAATGAATTCTTTTGGGGACACCATAGGAATCGGAGCTGGAAACGAAGTCCATGTGCACCGACCGTTGACATGAACACAACGTGAAGGCGAAGAGGTTGCTGACTGACCTGAATGGTGTCACACAAGCCAGAAGTTCGTGAGTCACCACCCCCGCCGCCCACACGTCCACCTTTTTGCCGTACTTGAGGTCAGCTTCATCGCTGCTGAGCAGCTCCGGAGCCATGTACGGCTGCAAAAGAGCAAGGAAACGTGGGAATGGCGCATCCACGTATAAAGTACAAGTGGGGAAAACTAGGTCCGGAGTCTGCATCGAGTATTCCTCGATGCATTCTCCCCTTTTCTTAGTGAATATGCGCACAAATCTGGACGCGTGTTATTTTTTTTATCCCATTCATCCTTCCCTGCGTCGAGATCGGCAGTCGGCAGGATATTGCTTCAACCTCTGCCCAAACCAAGAGTTGTCCGAGCAACAGAGAGCCTTCGTGTGAACGCCAAAAATATATCGTCTGAGCATTGACAAGACGGCTCGTTTCCTGTTCAGCTGTGCTGGCGAAAACGAGGTTAAACCTCGGAGGGAAATTGAAGCAAAGCGTCCTCGACTTAGTTTTGGGGACAAACGCGATACATTGCTACCTTCGACATTTACGAAGCACACAAAGTTACAGGTCGGGATCCCGGTAATGTATTGGTCATTTGTAGCGTTGGGTTTCGTGCCTCTAGTCTATGGCTAGTAGGAGTTTGCAAGGGAAAACATTCAATGTCTGATTCAGTGCCTCGATCGAGTCAACGTTGGAGTGCGACTAGGACCGCCCTTTTCCTGGATAGAGATGCAACACGTACTGCAATAACGACGTACTCGTCTCGATTTTCCCGACTATTTGAACAACGACTTCTCCTTGGAGATAAATTCACCTTCTTAGCGGGGAGGGGGTGTGATCAGTCTGCCCGGGATTGACCGTAGGTGAACGCCGTGGGATCCAATCTCCAAAGCATGTGACCATCTCTCCTACATGTAGCCTCCTGGTGAGCGGAATGCATCTTATTCCCACACTGTTCGCACCTTGGTCCCAACGACGTCGGTCAAAAATCCATGCTCATCGGACAACTTCTTTGAGAGGCCAAAGTCGGCGAGAAGAAGCTTCTTGCCCGAAGCCCCACCCACGCCAGATCCTGACGAAAACAAAACGCCACCAACGGACGGAACGATTCAGCACATTTCGGCCGTTGTCCGTGGCAATTTTCACGAGTACTCAGGCAGTAAAACCTTACCACTCCATGAACTGAATAGTTGAAACTTCTTGGGGGAATTTCGCGATCGATTCGGCATCTAAGTTTGTTTCCTCGCCCGAGACACGAGTGCCTGTACGTCAGCCACATCACCCTTCGAAAGGGTTCAGCAGAAATGGCAAGAGAAAAGCCCAAAGGCTTGCGTTGAGTAGATGAGAGTTTCAAGATGGAATTCATCCTGGAGCTAGTCAAAGAAATACGCCTTTCGCAATGTATGGGCTTGTCGGAACAGAGATTTGCATGAAGTCCATATTTCACACGTGGAATGACTCAGAACAGGCATAGACGCTTTCATCACATCGCTATCATGTATCTGCTGACAGGGCTGTGCGCTGTTGTTGTTGTACTCCGCGTCCACTCACCGTCGGGCAGGAGGAGGTTGTGGGGCTTAATATCGCGTTGGACAATGTTCCTGCTGTGCAGGAACTCCAAGGCAGACAGCAGTTGCCGAATGAAGTGCTGGGTCTCCAAATTGGTGAACGGCTTCACCTAAAAATATATGTTGCAACGTTGGCGGTGGGTTAGCATTAAGACAGATCCTACGCACCAAGGTAGAGGAAAGTCATAGTCGAGAGTGAGTGCTGACGCGAAGGAGAGGAAAGAGCATTGTGAAATATTGTGGCACATTCGGTTGATCAAAAAGTGCACATGTCTGATCGCCGAAGGCCAGCACCTGGCCTCGGGGGCGTACTATGTGATATACTTGAATGCACTTGAAACGTGGCAACGAGACTATAACCGGGCCGAGATCGGACTGTTCGTTAACCGAAGGTCATTCCTCGGCGAGCGGGCGGCCACCATCGCTTTCGGCCTGTTCACCAACAACAACATTAATCAACCCCGGCAAGGTCACACTCAGAGGAAGGTGGACTCATTTTCTGTTGGAATGTCAAAAAAGGACAGTCCGCCAACGAAGCACGCGTTGAATTTCGGAACGTGAAATATGCAAGAGTTGAAGTTAGCAAATGGAGTATTTGCCTTTTTCGTCGCAGCGCACACACTTACACTAAGGGGAACACTCACAAGGACCAATAGACCCGACGATCAATGTCGTAACGCTCGCGGCATATTATCGGAAACTGTTGGGTGCGATTGAAAATTGCTCCATTTGTCCGGCGTTTGTACACTTCGCACCTTGAGCATTGTCTTCAAATCGGTCATGGCCATTGGCATGATGATCAGGACCCTGACCAAGCAATCAACGTGTTCGGTGTGTTCGGGTTCGCGTTGTCATCGAGGCAGCGAGCCGCAACATGGTACAGCGACAGAGGATACACACAAGCACACACCCACAGAGAGGCAGAGAGGCAGAGAGAGAGAGAGAGAGAGATAGATAGATAGATAGATAGAGAGAGAGAGAGAGAGAGAGAGAGAGAGAGAGAGAGAGAGAGAGGCGGACAAACAAACAGGCAAGGCACAGATAGAGCAGAAAGAGAAATAATGCAAGGGGGCACATGACCAAGGAACATTGTTCTCAAGGAGAGCCAGTGAAGAACATGGAGTGTTTAGAGCCTAACGGACGGAGGGCGGGGTTCGGGTTTGCGCTGGCTTCAACCTCGATTCGCCCAAATTTTATGTTGTTGCCGCGGATATGGTCCTGGAGAGTTTTATCGAGTACTTTCGTATCCATCATGTTTCTCTGTTGTATGAGCGCACTGTAGCGGTCAACAAACTGAGAGCTAGCTTCCGCGCGACATGCAGGGCCCCAATGGGGGTGGCATTTGCTGTAATCGGTACTTTCATGTAGACGACACGCGCTCGAACATGGCGTCTCTTCGGCCGAGACACCACGCATAAGCGTGGGGGCCTTTCGAGCGCCATCGCTCGCGGTTGTGCCCAACACGCACTTAGACAACTCTAAACGAGCGACGTTCGGCTCTTCAGGCAGCTTGTGTGTGTCACCTCTCGGTAGTCCTGATGTAGCCGAAGATGTCGACCACGTATGGGTGTACGTTGCATTCCTGCAAAATCGCAATCTCCCGGTCGATAAACTTATCCTGTGAATCCAGGAACATCCGGCCCGAAATTTTCATTCCGGTGGCACGTCGGACAAGCAAGTTTTGTATGGGTACCAGTCTGTGTAAGGAGTCAGATGGACCGATCACCAGATAGGCAGACAATGAGAAGAGCCCAAGAATGAACATTCAGACGGCCTCACGTGCCCACCAACCATTGGTTATTGTCTCGTTCTACACAGCGTGCCTCAGTCACCTGAGGGTGCGCTTCAAACCTACATCTAGTGTCTTTGGAACGTTTGGCGTCCACATCACTGTTGACACCCACACGCAACGAAACGTTGTTGAAAACAACGTCAAGCAACCAGCAGATGTACCAACGCGCGATTTGAAGGGTACAGGATTGTTGTTCTAAATACCATGGGTTTGCAACGACCCGACATGCTTATGTTGTGTTGATATTGGTTGGCGAACAACCGATGAATAAAGCCAAAATCAAAACGCCGGAGATACCCTTGTTTCAGGTTTTTACCTGGGAGCCCAAGTCTTGGCGCCACCTGCACAATGCCTTCACCGCGATCGACACGCCGTTTGCCATGGCGATCTTGAGTACCTCACCTGGATTCGCATTCAAGCACAAATCAGAAAAGGAATGGATCGGGCAGCGTCAGGCATCACCCGCAGTAAACGGCACCCCAAAGCACTCCTACCCAACAGGCGCCACTACCCAAGCCGTCTCACAGAAACTGCCGCTCCCGATCATCTTGCCGCGGCCGTCGTCCTCAGCAGACACCATGTCTTCCATGCACCAGCGGCGGGGCTTTCCCTTTTCTCCCTCCGAGACAAGCCTCTGCGGCATCTGCGATCCGGCTTCTAATTCCTCCCCCGCCATCAGCTCGAGCTTGTGGTATCCGCCGATTCCACCGCCGCCGTTCGGGTGGTTGCCTTCGCCACCACCTGCCTCGACCGCACCGTCGCCGGGTTCGCCCGTAGACACGGCGTGGGGCTTAGGGCACACGGAGCTGTTGCTGTTGTTGTTGTTGTTGTTGTTGTTGTTGTTGTTGTTGTTGTTGTTGTTGTTGTTGTTGTTGTTGTTGTTGTTGCTGTTGTTGTTGCTGGTGCTGGTGATGGTGCTGGTGCTTTTGGGTCCGAGATCGATCGCCTTGGTGGTGTTCTGCACCTGTAGCAAAAATCATTGCGGGCAAGACAGACAACATGTTCACATAATACTCTTCGAACCCTCCCTCTTGTGTTAACGGAAGAAATGGGAGCTTTCGCGTTCTGGCCAATGAATGGAGCGGTGTGAACATCAAGCTGGGAATCCAAAGCCATCCTCTGAAGCCTCATCCGTATGTCCTCAAATTTCTCGAGGAAGACCGAACAGCCAAGCAGATTTCCGGAACTCCGAAAAGGACAGAAACCGGCCGTTACACGGTTGGCCTACAAAGTAGGCGTCCTTTCACGTGGTACGGCCTGGTAGCTGGCCTCTCACTTGTACCGCCTGGTAGGTCTTGTCGGCTGCGGCTTCAAACACTAAATTGGCTGTACTTAGCGTGTGCACAAACCGCGAGGGTAAGTGGCGTTAGCGAACGTGCGAGGTTCCAATACAAGGGTGTACGTTTCGCCGAGTTACGTCGGTGCCCATGGCATCGGAGGATGTGGGTGTCTTTGGTTGTTTCGTCCGGCAGGAGTACTTCCTGTTGGACCCGTGAGTTCCATGTGCTGGAGAAAAGTCAACATTGGTGATCGTGAAGAAACGAGTGTAGTGTTCCTGGAGATGACGCGCTTGGCCGCCATCACCCATTCATGCCGCTGTGTATTCTCGATCGGTCGGGACAACCGCTGGTGGGTTCAATGCACTTGGCCCCGCGCATCGAATGTCTGTCGACTCGTTCAACCTGACCGCCCCTTCAATCTTGAAGACAACATCACGCCAATGTTTTTCACCAATCGTTCTCCCAAGTATCATATTATAGTTTATGGCCACATACTGGGAAAAAGTGATTCATGCCCAAGATAGAGGCTCAAGCATTGCGCCCCTCGACGGGATGTGAATGGATCAACATGTTGACCAATTGCCGAAACTACATGGTCGGTGTTTGACATGTGAACTATCCGTGTTGGCGGATGTTTGGACAAATATTGTTTTGCGCACTGTTCGCTTGCCCAGCGTACGAAGCTGGCGAGGTAACCATGGGGGTTTGGAATACCTGGCGGATGTTCTTACCTTGTCTTGTTCGACGACGGCATCACCACCCTCCTCGGCTGTACGTACTCCTGGTGTTGTGCCGACACCCTTTACCCCGTGCTGTCCCATGTCGGTCTCGGCTGGCATTGCGGCTGCCGGCTGCTGTCGGAATCGCCACGTCGACGCCTTCCGAGCAAGGTAAACCATCACGAGTCCGGCGCCCGAGAAAAACGCGGTTTCGGCGAGAACGACCTGCGAAGACAACGCTTCGAAGTCCGCAAACTTGGCGCCGTATCCATCTACCGAGAAACATGAATTGGGGTTATGTCCCTCAGCAACCGCGAAGATTGCGTTGGAGGGAGCTCGCTTGCAGGCGCGGTCGGCGGAACTGACACCGCCCCAACGCTGGGTTGCTGCTCCACCGTCGAAGATTTGGAGGCACTCTGGATCTGCTGCCATAGCGCATAGCTCGAGCTTCGACTCGCCGAAGATGCCCGACGTGCTGGATGTGGCGCAGTCAAAAAGCCATGTTTTGCAACGCTCCTCTACTTCGTCGTCTCTGCCGGATATCGATGAGCATCACGGGTGAAGAACGCGTTCCCATGGGTGCGTCATGTCTGTTGGAGCCATTTCGCAAACATATCCATATCAGTAGCACTGCAGACTCATCTAGAGGGTTTAGTGGAAGACTATGTAAGCGATAGCTTCGCACGTAGCCGACAATGAGACAGATGCATCCGGCAGCAACAAGAACCCCGTACGTGGTCTGGCAAATCCGTTCAGCCAATGGAACCAATATCTTTAGTGTTGCGCTGTACGCATTAGCTCCACGAGTGTGTCACACCTACGCCCGCTGCTCGGTATTTTTTTGTAGGGTCTTTGTTCCCTTTCCGAGGAGCCCAATCACTGCTGTTGGTTTCGATTTGTAAGCTCGATAGTTATACAAGGACCGGTGAGCCACAACCCATGTTCAAGGTCGAGAGTCCCTATCTACACCCGTTAGACATCAGGCAGCAGCGGGAAGTAAGTGTTGGGGCAACAGATAGATACGGAAATGGTTGAAAAGAGAGAGAAGCAACAGTGGTAGCTGACGAACTGACCGACATAATGAATGTACCATGCTCCGGAACCGTGCCGGCCGACTGAAATGAAACACCTAGACTATTTCGAGGAATATGGCTTGAAGCCGTCCTGTGTCTCAACAAATGAGCGCCGACTATGTACACCATGATGTAGATCTAGTGAACGTCGGCGACCGAGCTCCTTTTTTCACGACGTTATTAGACTGCTGAAGACAAAAAACAAAATGAAAGTTTGTTGTCGAAGACCGAATAAACTGTAGTTTACGGTGCACGGAAGAATTCGGAACATCTCCCAGATCTGCGTTTGTATTTGGGTCCTTGTTGTGCAGCCCTGGAGGCGTGTTGGTTGGGTTGTGTTGATTTGATTTTCTGGGGTCTTACGAACAAGAAGGTCTCACGGAGTTCTCATTCTGCTGCCTCGCTGCTTTTGTAGCAAGAGTTTGATAGACGCGTGTCTACTGGACCAAGGGCCACGTGTTGAGGAATGCACAGTGTGTGACACGGAGCCCGCGTCGGAGAGTCACATGGGAAGGAGGGCAGCAGCTAGCTATATCGAAGCTTGGCCCTAGCTAGCAGAAATTCGTAGCTTTTGTCGAACTACATGCCCTCTCCCCTCCCCCAACACAGTTAGGATGGTAGGAGTACCCGTGTTTCTCACCACGGTTGGCATAGTGCAGCAACACCGGGAATTCTCCTTGTTTTGACCTTCGAGAACTTACGCCATTCATAACGCGTCTTCAAAATGGACCCATGACGCGGGCGGGGACAATTATGGTTAAAAATGCCTCGGTAGCCACTATATTCCTTTGCTATGATGAAGCCACATGCTGTACGGTCCCATTGTTTTTTTTACCATGGGCCGCGCCGTAAGCCGAACCGCAAGAAGGAATTCGACGTGGCACCGCGTGACCCCCCCCCCCAATGAAAAACAAAACAAACAAGCAAACGATACCATGCCTTGCGCGTCGCTTGATTCCATGCAACCTCTCCCGGCTACGTTCGGACGCCCACGAGATTTGGAAACCCGGGCTACACGATAGCGCATCATTGTCGATTTCCTTCTGTTGTTTCTTTTCTTTTTCTGCCTCGTGCTTTTCGTCATGTTTTCCTGTGTAGTAAGATATCCCAGGCATCATGCGGATCCTTTCGCGGCAACCTCAAAGATACAGCGGGAAGCAAGCAGCGTCATGAAACCACCATACGGCGCGGGGCCCTACGCGATCAAGAAGGGCAAGGCAAACGATACTTAGCGCTTCATAGTGCACCATTGCTGACTATAGGTACTGCACGCCACCGCCGAGAGACAGACTGGGGTCTCTCTGAGGTAGCGCTCGCCGTTGTGCTTCTTGGTGGAGGAAATACTTGAGTCCTGCGATTTGGGGATTTTCTAGGTGGGCGGTGCGTCACGAAGGCCGACGGCTGAGCTGTGCCGTCCCGTTTCGCGGTCAAATTGCGTGCAGAGTGCGTATCGCACAGTTCTGTGTTGGTAAAGATATAAGCGTAATGCACGACATCGGACGACCCGACGGGTTGTACTGTTGTATCCCGAAGCAGATATCGCACGACTTCGAAATGGGTGTTTTCTGAATGGTAGTGCGTAGTATTGGGAGGCTCAATCGTCCGAGACTGCTACTGTGCAACAGTTTCGTCCCGTCTGGTAGTATTCGGAGGGAGATTTTGTGTTTTAGTAGCAGAGACACCTTTGGATACCGCAGAGACTTTGTGCCGTGCGGAACGTGTGGTACGGGGGATGTCTCCCTCCGTAGGCCACAGAAATGTTAATCAAGGCAATCCGAAAGAAAACAATAAACTTGCGTTTGACTATTTACTGTATGCAGCGATTGTAGAACCTGAGCCTGGGGTCAAGTTTCTTTGAGATCGGAAAAAAAAATGTTTCTTGTTCTCATTGATTACATAGACTAGTTTAGTCTGTAGCCAGCAATGGAAGCTGCGGCAACTCACCTCGTATTCTTTTGCTGGAGCTTCGAGCGTAACGAAACCATGGCATTCCCGATCATGTCAACTAGGAAGCTCATTCTCCTGATTGTCTTCTCCTGAAGACCTCCCTCCCCGCCACCTAGTCGATTGATGTTTTGAATCCGTTAAACAGCAAGAGGACGAGATTGGGGGTGAACTCGAGTCGGCGACAGAAACAACCGAAGTTCTCGTGCGCGCGGCACACAATAGTGGGTGCCTGTGATACATCGATATGTATAGCGCGAGGTGCACTCGGCGATGCGCGCGTAGCTATCTCAAAGAGATGTAGCCGAGCCGACAATCTGACCAAGATAATGTACTTCTTCGTACAGGAGATGCCTCCTCACGCAGAGCGAACAAACGTGGCGCACAAAACCTTTCGGTAGACCTATTGGCGTGAAGGTATATAGCACACCGCTGAGAAATTCGATTGGGCAGGTGGACGGCGCCGAGGTATTCTTGTGTGGCATGTCACAGACTTCGGTGCCAACAGAAAAACATTCTGCGAAGACGGCTAGGCGAGGTTGCACACGTACGTGTGGGCCTTTCCTGCAATAAGGGAAACATCTAACTAACCAGTTTTTATCTACTGTACCAGTCTGACACCACCGAATGAATACATAGCTCGGTGCTTTCCGCAGAAACCTTCGCACCTCTCGTTCTGAAGCTATATGCACGGCTTTTTCGTGCCCTGTCCAGGTCTTGGTGACGATGCTCACTAAGTTGTGGTCGCTGGAGAGGATGTACGCCACAACAGTCGTCCGTTTTTTTTTTTCAGGAAGAGTTTCAAAATGAAACGGTTCGAGGGCGAACGCCTCCGCAAGCGCCGGCTTCTACAGTCTACGACGAGTGCGGAATAAACACTCTCTGAAACCTTTTTGAATAGACTACATTCAATACGCAGAGCCACCACACCCGCAGCGCTATGAAAGAGGTTGGCATTGTCGGCAAACACAAAAGCCGACGATGAACACACTGCAGTATGTAGACTGACTACAGTAGATGGCGCCCGCACTTGAGAACCTCTAGTTTCGGCCGAGGCTGGGGTTCTTATTTTGCTGATCATCCTCTTGTGGGCTACAAATGGCCGCTACATAGGTTTTAGTGTGGGGTTCTTAACCGAGCTCACAAATGGTGCTCAAGTTCTTAGCTTCTGACTTTTTGCGAGTCTCATTTTCCTTAGTCTACTGCTAAGTTCTTAAGTGCGGGCGCTATCTGTATAACGTACAGTCGACCCCGCTTTAAGGACGCACATGGTTTTTTCCCGAATAAAGCGGTCTTAAAAGCGGGTGCGTCCTTAAAATTCAGGGGACAATAGCTCACCATCCCCGTGGCCAATGGAAGCATGCTATACCTCAAACTACGCGTCGTTTGCTACGGAAGGTGTTGTACGAAAAGTCAGCATCGCCGAGACGACTGGCAACCGCTTGATGACGCGAACATATCTACTATACTTAAAATGAGATGTGTACAGCAGAGCAGCCGGGGACGTGTTGAAAACAACTACAGTACAAGTTTGTACTTGGCCAACTAACGTACTGCATAGCCGGCAGTGGAAGAAGGAGGAAAGTCCAAGTAGACATATATATATATCTTTCTTGTGAAACAAAAAATAAACGAACGAGCGTATTTCAACGTCGCATCGAGGAACACCAGTTCCGTACATATAACTGTCCCGGCGGAGACCAAAAGCTACCCTGACGGCTTTTTTTCCCTCGACATGTCGCGAAGCGTTTCGTGAACCTCCCTCCGCGGCTTGGCTCTTCTACGGCTCTGTTGAGTTTCATGAGTAAACGAATGAACGGTCTTCGAAAGGAGGTACTGCGTCTCACGGTACTCGCCACCCCTTCCCTTCGCGTACAAATAGGATCGAACGTCCTCCAAGCGAGAGATAACCTCGCCCTCGGTGAGGACGAGGTTATGCACGACTATTTATTTACTAGTAACCAGGAACGGGTACACCCGGGTACTTTGTCACCACTTTAGGGTACACTTAGAAATCAACACGCTTGCACCCCCAGGCTGTCAGCTGATTAGCCGAAAACCATTGTACCCATTTCGGAAGAAATCTCCATCTGGTACAACTACCGCTGGCATTAGGACCCTCTGGTGTGATCGATATTGATTACTGGTGCACCCGGAAGAGAGAGGTCGATTTTGGACACCAGAAGAAATGGTTATACAATCCCGGTGCCCGACGCTCTACCAAAAAACCCGCAGAAAAAACCGTGTACCGCACATTCCGCGTGTACCCGATCACATGCACATACCCACAACCAAACCACCAACAACGCTCGCTAGTTGATGGGCATCACCGCCTCCAAAGGATACCGGCCTCTATCAACAGAGGGTCGGACCTGCTTGACGCGCGAGTTCGTTCGGTGTGGTGCTGCACAGACTGGTGGCCAGTGGGCACGGTTGTGTGGGGGCGTTGTGTAACCTTCGGCCAACTAGGGGTTATTACATGGGATATCGTGGGGGGGTTACAGGCCGAGCGGGCATACGTACCGGGTTATGAAAGCGGTCATGCGCGGATTGGTGTGAAGGAGGAGAAAATAAAAAATGTAGGTGTGAGCCTTCCCCTCCATTGCGACATTGTGTTCCACCCTT